ATCTCCTGGACGGCCGATGACGCGTTGGTACCAGGTGCGCGGTGATGACTGCTTGATGCGACGTCGTGGCGCAGTCCTTGACTCCTGGGTAGGCACTGGTAGCGTGGCGATTTTCTGGACAGTCTTTCTTCCAATGTTGCTGCTGGCAGATTGGACACGGTGAGGGTGGCAGCAATGGCTTGGTTGGGCGGGGGGTTGGGAAGGGACGGGGGGTTGGGCGGGGTGGACGGTGCTTTCTCCTCCTCTGGACGGCATGGACTTCTTGTGAGTTGACAGTTTCGACGATTCTGGAGTCATCCTTGACCGATTTCCAGGCATGGTATTCCTTGGCCAAATCGTCGATGGTGGTCTTGTCGTCTTCGTCCAGCTTGCGCAGGAAGCGGACGCGGTAGTCGGCGAGTTCTGGAGCTTGGAAGGCGAAAACCAGAGCCAGGCATTCCAGAGTTCTTGCCTGATATCCTTGAAATTGGCTTCCATGGCGCGAGCCTTCAGCGAGTTGACGAAGGTGTCGATGTCTTCATTCGGCGAGAAATTCATCGGAAGCATTCGAAGCGGCGGCGGAAGAGACTTTTCTTGGTTCCGAACAGCGTCTTGAGAGCATCGAGCGTTTCCGTCCAGTTCAGATCTCCGGGCTCCTTGGGAAGGATGTGGCGGACGAATCGTGCGTGGCTTGCAGCGTCAAGAGCAGTGACTAGAAGACGCGTCTTGATCTTCTCGTCCATTCCTTGGCAGTCGATTTCGAATACGTCCTTGTGCCGGCTGAACCACATGTTGAAGCAGTCGTCTTGATCGGCGTCGTACGCGAACTTGTCGATCCTCCTTGCCATACGGTCGAAGGCAGATTCCTGCGGCGTGGTTGTGGGCGTGGACATCTTCTGGAGCAGGTCCATGAGGAGTTTCTGCTGAGCGGCCATCATCTGCACGAGATCCTTGAGTGGAGCGTCCTCTGGCATCGTTGCGGCGGCGGTGTGGTCCTCGAAGTCGTTGTCCTGATCGCCAGTTGTTGTGTCCTTGCGAATAGGCAGCAGCAGAATATTTATTGGACAGTAGAATAACAACTAACAAAATGACCCGTTTATATACTGTTCTGCCTGGTCAAATTCCCTAGTCAAACCAGGCAGATCTATAACAATGCCAGATCAAATACCTACATGTAGTAGATCACAGTGTCCCCAACACCAAGGCGGTACAAAATCATGAAGAGGAACGATGGGAGGCATCGTTATATACAGGCTTAATTTATCGTCAGTTTGTGCAGAGCGCAAGCAAGCTGCGGCCAGGACGCTGGGCGTGTTAAGATACTTTGATTTTTCAAACATTAAACAAACGTCCGGCTTGCTGAAAGAGTAAATATGACAAAATAGTGAAATTTCAGCGCTATTCCAACAATTTTTGCTCCAGAACGTAAATGCGCAGGCCGAGCAAACTCTGTCAAACTGATCGATCGATACAAACTATGCCTTCAACCCACGGTTCAAACGGCAAAATTGTTTTGACGCATATTAAAGTTTGCCAAGTGAGTATTTTTAAAAAGATCACTGAGTGAGTTGAGCTTTTGAGTTTGGCTCAGAATGTTCCGGACTTCAAAGATCTATATTCTTTTAAAATAGCAGGCAGGTCCCAGGGGGCTGTATGCACTTTTCCGAGACATGAACAATTGCCTAATTATAAAGAAATTCCCTTTTTTGTTTCGGCGATGACGTATAAAGAAATTTTGCGTCTCGCACACGAAAAAATTTGCGTGGCGGCTGCCACTACCCCATCTAAAAACTCGTCGAGATATTTTTCAAAAAGAGAGATTTTTTAGATTGCCGGCTAGGCAAGATTGCGCAACTGTGGGAAGCATCCTTTGCTTTCGTTCCGGTTGTCCAAGTCCTTCACTTGAAAAACGCGCTTCCCCACGCATGCGAGCAAGTGTGCTTCAGCGCTGTTCTTGATTTCAGGCGGCGCTGTAGGCGCTGCAGAACCGTTACGCTAGCTGAATCCCTTCTCGATCAGATGCACGAGGTTAGAGCCGAAGATGAGGAGTCGTACCGGGCTCTTCTTCAGACAGATGCACCAAGCATGCCACAAGACGGATCTCCTTGTGTTTGTGAACGTGTTCTCTATTCGAAATGCTTTGATACTACGTTTCTTCTCTTGCCGAAAAGAACTGAAAGGCAATATTGCTAGGCACATGTCGGGGAAAACTGGGCGGGACTTGCGTCCAGACTCAAGCCCACCTGATTCAATATTCGTTTCGAATCTCATGTGTATTGTATCAGAGAAGACCGAGGAAGCAAGATTTGGCATCCAGTGGTTTACGAGCCGCTGCTATCTCAAGCTGGGTTCACATAAGCATCTAAACTCTTTTACAGAAATGAAGGCTCCCGCTTCAAAGCACAGCTTCGTGAAAGATTGTCCTTCAGGGCACCTTTCTTGTGAAGCTTCGTTTTTCTAGCCTGAGAGCTCTCATGCCCGAACCAGAGTTGCAGGAGAAATAGCATGAGGGAAGTGTTCGAGGATTGGCGCTGACAGGATAGGACGAATTTCTTGCCATATTGCACGAAAAGAAGGAAACAAGTGAGCGGTGCCAGTAGGGGGGGGGGTGTTTCAACCATGTGTAAATGTGTACGTAAATGTACTTAGAATGGACAATACGGCTTACTGCCTTCGGCAATAATGAGGAAATATCAGCTATCCAGCAGAAATATGCTAGAAAGAAATTCTGACTATGGTCAGATCGTACACAACTTTTTTCCTGCGTGAATGTAAAGCAGTGGGTCTCATGTCCAATCACTTATGTTTCAGTGGGAGGATACCTCGGAATGCCTCATAGAACCCTTCGCACTGTGGAACGTCTCGATCCTGCAAAAGCAGACGCTGTATGGGAGTATGTCGCTCCCATGAAAACTCCAAGGTACAACTTTATCATAGAAGAACCTAGCAGAAAAAATACGCCGTGTGCTCACCTGTTGGATAGATCATTGCCAAATGCGACGTGGACAGGCCCGTAGCTGTAGAAATGTGCTACATTCATCATTCGCGCGGAACTGAAGCTTGAGAGTGGCGGCAGCTTGATGAATCCACCCGCGACGCACAATGTGCGACATGCCGATTGATGCCGAGTTCCCGCTACGATTAACGTGAACAACGAGCTGTCTATCGCGGTCAGGTGAGGGAGCAACCAAACGTGAGAAGTCGTAGACAAGTAGCGCGTTTTGCTAAATTAGGCGTATACCTGGTTCTGCGGTGGGTTGCGACTGCGTGTTTTGCCTGTGGAAGGAGCTAGAAACAATATCTGGCCGTCAATCACAGCACATCATTGGTTGGAAATCTGGGTCTAGTACGTACGACCCCCCCCCGTCAAAGGTGACTCGATACGACCATCCCCCTCTGGTTCCCTTCCAACTTCCTTCTACCACTTTTTCGCGGAATTTCCCGCGAGAAACTTCGTTCCCGAGAATTTTCCTACTTTCATACTTTTATCAAAGAATTCTGCATTCGAGCGGGGGGAGGGGAGGGGGTGGGGACAGGAGGCGGGGGAGGGGCACACAGTACACATGGAATAGAAAAACCAACGGAAAGTCAGCAACCTCTCTATAAGGGCAGGAGGGGAATACGATCCTTCTCTCCCAGTGACCAAATTCCTCCCACCCCCCCCTCTCCTAAAACGTCCCTGAAACGGGAGAAATCAACTATTAGGAGAAAATTTTTCACAGCCCAAATATGGCCCGCCTCCTCTCCCAGCGAACAAAAAAGGCTACCCTCTCTGTTGGCGAATCTCCAACAACGATTTGCTGTCAGTACCCTCTAGCCTTAGTTCAGCGCTTTCGAGCGACGAATGGTACACTTCTACACTTGCGGACCATTCACCTCGCCAATGACAAGCATCAGAATCTCTGCAGGAGAGCGTACAGCGTACTCTCGAAAACTGCTTCATTTTCAGAAGTGGATTCGGTGTTGCAGTGCTCGACAACTTGCTTTATGCTGTTGGTGGCTATGATGGAAAAAACCTTTTGAGCAGTGTTGAGAGGTTTGTATTATGTGCACTCTCTAGGATATAATGCGCGTGTGCTTGCATGGTCGCGACAACGCGCACAAATCCTTTCTGGATACTTTTTTAATTATCTAGGACAGAATTCTGAAGGAAGATCGCAATTTCCTAGTATTCTCTGTTAAACAGAGCTGAATTAACCCAGCTTCCGCCATTGTCCAGTTCTTTTCGGGGTACTGCACGCATTCTTTAC